AAGATATTTACATAAATAGAGAAAAAGGGGGCAGAAAATAACTTAGTATAATAGAAAATAGCTGGAAAATATGAGAGAAAATAACTGGAAAATATTGTTTTGATTTTACGAGATTTTATTTTATTAGTTTTTGATTAACTTCAGAAAATAAGCAAACACATAGCAGAGAGCCTTAAGAATAATTGGTACTAAAAAGAGAATTAATTTGCAAATAACTTCAAATTATGTCAGTGTCTTCCAGTGCCCCTTTGAAAAGAAATGAAATTTAACGAATTAAAAAAAAATAGATTTTCGGAAAGAAGAATTCAGACAAACAGAATTACCAACATATTTCGTTTTCATTCTTACAATTTTCTTTATGTCATCTTACTGTAAAAAGTCACATTACACAATTTCCCAAGAAACAGAAATGCAATTTGTCGGCAGGATGTCTTGCTATCAGCAGAACACGGCGCAATGCAGCGAGTTCAAGGTTACTTGCCGTCGTCAATGTAACATAATATGACATCTTCCTTGCTGATGTCAAATAAAATAAATAAGTTTACATTTACATTCAAGAGGCAAAATTATGCTCTTTTGGATGGAGGGAAAAAATCTTTTATTTTAATTTTTTAAACAAGCATTAATTTTAGTTTCTTCTCGGAAACTACATTTTAACATTTTTAATTAAAATTAAGATTGCAGTTTGCTGCTAATTTATGCTCTCATTCCTTTTTAAGTGCAAATGAAAAATGTATTTTTATAAGGATAATGTACAGTTACTTTAAGATCATATTGAATTTTAAAAGAAAAAGGTTTTTAATATGAAGCTGGGAAAGCATCTTGTGTCATTTACCCATTTATACATAGCTGCAATTTTAAATTGATTAATTAATTTATTTATTTATCTTGCTTTTATTATCCGTGACATAAAATTGTAGATTGTTTTGTAGAAAATTAAGCATTCCCATTAAAATAGACCATAAATTATTTTACCCCTTTTAGTTAGTTTATCATTTTATGAGTTTCAAGTAGAAGTTTATTTTATGAAAACTTAAGTTATGAAAACGTAAGTTGTTAAGTTATGAAAACTTAACATGTTAACAACCGTTTTGCGTAAACCTGATGCTGTTATAGTTGCAAGATTAGTTGAAATTCCATTTAAGAACAGACATTAATTTTTTTTTGCACTGTATTGCTATTTTGAAGCAAGAGACATGAAAATTTCATGTGCAATTAAATAAATTTAAGAGCATTAAGCTTCTTAATTTGCGGCCAACAACTCCAATTTTTTTCTGTTTTCTGAGAAAACCGTGTTATTAAAAGCAAAGTTACAGAGAAATAAATTGGGAAAACTTCATTATGACGTTTTTTAAGCATTTGCACCGCATCTTAAGAATAATGTTTCCCCATACTTGTTCTCAAACATCTTTTTTTAATGTATGTAAAGAGAAAGAACACACTCTTCGCTTATTCTTTTTGCTTTATCTTAACGCGAATATGATAATATTTGATTACGCAATGTACATCAGTGTGTTTCTCTGTCTTTTAAGATATGCTTTCGCTTTGCGAAAAGATAATACATGCAATACGTTTGTTGATATTTTTATGCTGAAGTTTCTGCTTTGCCTTTTTATAAATTGATTTTAGAGTAGATATGAAGGGGGAAATCTTATAACTCGATTTTAGCTTTCGACAAATGAGCATTACCGATGTAAATGGAACATGCGAAAAAGTAAATTTTGATTGTATTTTGTTCTTATGTCGATAACGTTCAAATTTATCGATGTTTATTATTATCTTATTTATTATCATCCCTTACTTATCGGTAAAGTTTAAATTTTGCTTTTATACTTTTATAATAAATGTCACTTGGTTTCTTTACGGACAACACAAAAACAGATTTCGGTTTGCGTGTAGAAGATCAAATCCTAATTTCAGTTTAGTATGATGCATTATAAACAGTTTTTTTCCAAAATTAAAATAAGTCACTAGAAACTGAAATTGCAGAAAAATGTTAATTGCTGAAAAGAAACTGAAATTGCAGAAAAATGATAATTAATGCTATGTGAATCTCTCAATAACTAGAAATATACATTATTTTGGGTAGTAAGGGTAATTCATACAAAACAATGATTGTGACTACCTGTTTTCATACACTGTTGGGAAGAGTTAAAAGGTAGTGACAGAAATAAAACTTAACTGAGTTTAAAGTCAAATTTATGGAAATTAAAAAATGATGGAAAACATTATCTTGCATGCTATGCGAAAACTTTTCCTTAAATATGTTGTGTGGTCACCTCTGATAGAAAAGCAAAACTTCACATCTTGATTATATAGAAGTAATCAAACTGCTTATGAAGACTTGTGGAACTCCGCAACAGTCTTCTGAGAGTACATATTTTTTATCCTGAAATAACTTCGTAGGCATTTAGCGAGCTATAATTCGGAGACCTTTGACCTCTCACACATGCTAAATCGGGTCCAACTCTGGGAAATGGCTGGCTGATCCATTTGAGTGGTATTTCTAAGTACTCTAACACCAAAGATGTGCGATACTGACGAGTATTGTCATCCATTATCACAACATCTGGATCTACAGCTTCAATAAGCACTCTTTCTTATATGGTATTCCTAGACCTCATCATCATACTGTGACAAATCATGGAACTTCCGAAGAGATTATGTAGTTCGATGCAGCCATTTTTGATGATTCTAGGTCCAAGCAAAGAAACCGCTTCCGCATTTCTACGGAAAAACAATTTATTTCTCTGTGGTAAGTTTATTTTAAATTGCTATTGCTTTTCTTTTTCAGCTACATGCGCTTTGTTAAAACGCGAACTATGCAAAGATTATGCTATTGATGAGTTCCATATGCAAAAATATATGAAATATACTGCGACTGGCCCCTCAGTGTCCAGAAACCCACTCGTGATATTGCTTTAACCTCAAACATTAGTATCTTCCTCAGATTAATAAAAATAGATAATAAAAACTTCAATTTTACATTAATCACCGTACATAAGCAAGACCATTATGTATAGCCACTGATAAAATGATTTTAAGAAATCCTTTTCAGAATACATTGCTATATGCCCGTACGATTACACAGTAGAACGCCAGTTATTGAAATGGAGTCTCCAGTTAATGGAGACGTAGACCCACGACAGAACAGGGATATTATTTTTTTTTTCTGTTGACTATACATGCATTTATCGTAATGCAAGTGAGGCAGTTGTTTTTTACGTGCTAACATTTATATAAATAAATATGAAAAGAATACTACAGTTAAAAATTTGGAATTAAAAAGAAGTAAGAGAAATTGAAACCTCCTTAAGACGACCAGCCACAGTTTCAGAAAACTTTATTCGTCTGGGAAAACGGTCGCTTTATAGAAGTGATGTTTAATATATACTACTTACATTCTACGAATTACTAGCCATTTTCAACGGCACTGGCTATGAGACGTGGCGGCCATGAAAGGTTTCAGTTTACTTTTTCGGCTAAATAAAATGTAAACACTAATTCCGACAATACTAAATTTAATTTTTTGTATTTGGCTAAACGCCGCTCTGGACGGTATGATGACAAGCGGGGGATGATTTGCATGCTTAAATGGAAGGCCTAGGTTTGATCTCGCATAAGGTTTGGCATTATGTACCATGTTCCCTCTTACTTGCAGACCTAATATCAGTCCCCCCTTATGAAGCATGAAGGATAACGTTCGCAGTGATGAGACGGCCAACTGGCTTATGAGTGTTGCCATAATTTCTGACGTTTCTGAAGAAGACTAAACCAGGAACCCTTTCTAAAACTCTAAATTTTTTAGAACAGTAGTGTCTAAATTACAACAGTGGCAACACTGCATATTTAAATCACTATGAAATTCAATGCTTGGAACACTGAGAATGTTTGTTACTTCCACGGAAGTAAAAAATATTTTAATGTGCCGAAAAAATAATCAATAAATGAATTTTCTTTCTGATGTATAAATTGAAGAGAAACTGGATTTTGCTCTAAAGACTATTTTACAGATGAAATAGTATGTTAGTTTCACTTCCAAATCGTTATCAGGTATCAAAGAATGTTTGATCAGAACGTTAAATTGTAACTTCCTCTGGAGGTTTTGTGAACTTAATAGCTTTATTTAAAATTTAATTTTAAAATTATAAAGATGTGAGGATAAACTTTATAATTTTTTATCGACAAATGCAGTTGAGAAGCAGTTTAAGGAAAATATAAGAGGTAGAGTTAATGCAGACATTTAATATATATTTTTTCATTTTAAGAATGTAACAGACATCATTGATTTTAGCAAAGAAATGTAAATTCCGTTCTTACACAGAGCTTTCCTAATTTTTCGAATTAAAAATACGAAACGATACCAAAAAGTAATTTCACAAACTGTTTAACATCTAGAAAAATCTTAAAGTTTATTAATTTTATTCTATTAGATCAAAAGCTAATTATTTTTTGAAGAAATGAGATGTTAAAGAAGACAGACAGTTACTCTTTTGATAAAGTTCTTGAAATTTAATTTAATTTCTTTTATCTCGTTTATTTATTTCATACAATTTCTGTGATTATATGCCCCAATCTATTTGAAGATTATTTTTTACTAATTTAGTGCTGATTTCCTGATTTATGAAATTAATGTTTCCTTTCGAAAAATTCATTGATTATGCTATTATTGCTAGACATCCTTATTCTAATCTATATGCAGATTACCTTTTACTAATTCAATGCTGATTTCCTGATTTATGGAATTAATGTTTCCTTTCCAAATATTCACTGATTATGATGTTATTGCTAGAAATCATTTTCTGAGAATTGCCCCCCCCCGTAAGCGCAATATGAAAGCCGCAGTCTAGAAAACATTTTTGATATTTCAACAGTAGATTGCCATGCCGGTTTGATTGCTATGTTAATATTAAGGTAGAACCTTAGTTTTTAAACAATCATTAAAGCTATGATATAGATTGATAAGCGTTCTGAATTGATTTGAAAATAGCAGAACTTACCCCTTTGCAAAACATTTCCTTGAGACTTATTGGAAGCAAATGTTGGAGTAATAGTCGTTAGTGGTCCGCTCATTGCTTGTTGCAAGTTCGATGGAGAGTCTGACCTTGAACGGCCACGGAACATAGTCATCGCTGATCACACACTTAATTAGTTAAGTTAGTAATCATGTAACATAGTCTCTGATTTAAGTAAAAGAGAAATTTTCGCAGACTGCGAAAGAGAGAACTGTGTAATTATTCCAAAGATATATGTAATTTTCCATTATAATCATCAGTACAACATACAATACTTCTTTTCCTATTTTTCCTGATTTTCCAAAACTGGAATAACAAGCAAAATTACATGTAAACATAGGCTAGCATAAGAAAGTAAATCGAAGCCAATAATGGTTAGCTATGTAGAAATAAAGCATTTACGCTAATGTTAATTATTTTTTTTATTGAATACAATTTAATGCTTCCAGTTCAGATCACACTTTCTGATTATGTTTTGAAAGCACTCAGAAGAGAACAGTTTATATTACACCACATTAATACACGGTGAGAAAAAGAACCTGTGCGCACTTGTATTGCAACTGCTTTCGATGAAATATTTTAAAATGAATTTTTTTCTTTTGTGAAATAAATTGTTTACTTGGAAAATTATTTGGGTCATACACAATATGCATTTGCATATGATTTCAATCAAAAGTTTTATAAAATCTGAAGCATTGTCATTTAGTTTAGGAAACCAATTTGAACTTGCCTTTCTAAAGGTTATCTTCCAAACGTCAAAGTCGTGCACCCACTTGCTACTGAGTTTCAGAATTAGTTAACAATGATAGTCGGAGATGTGTTTTTCTTGAGCAGTTGAACCTCCCATACAATCGCCATCGGTTAGAGAAGAGTGGTTTTAGAAACATTAAATTTATTTCCTTTAGAGGCGAGTGGTGAGTATCTGCAGTGATATATAAAACACCTGCTGCACGAGCTTCCCAAAGGTGCGCGCACACACATCTGATCGAAGAATAGAGAATCTTCTGTTAGGAAGAGAAAGAAACCTTGTGTTGGTGATTCAGCCTGCATGGCCAGAGTAACAGGTGGCCATGACGTAACGAATCTGAGATTGTTGCCATGGTATACCTCTTTTCTGACACCGAATTCTCGAACATCGATGCCGGTAATGCTGATTAAGAAGTTTTAGTATACGGGCAGGGAGTATGTTTCTGTTGTTAAAAATCTCAATGCATTTATTCCGTATTTTCTACTGAAACAACACAAATCGTACTGATGAAATTCCAGAGAAACTGTTTTGGGTCAATCGGAATAGAATATTGCAATGTCTTTGGTTTCATTGCATGCGGGTATCTCGTAACGGAAGGAATATTCAAATACAAATAATTATTATCTGCTGGGAAAAAAGCTAAAATTTAAAGCGACAATATGTTGCTAATCCTAATAATTAAATGTTGTTTCTTTCCAAGTATTTCGAGAACAATAACCTAAATATTAATAATCGAGCAAATTTTTTTAAATTAGATGAATTGAAAGGAAATTGTCACAGTTTTATTGTGGTTTAATTAAGCGCAAATGAATTTAATTGAGGTATAAATATTGTCCTAATTTAAACAAATAGGTTTTCAGCATTTCCTTAGTTAGCTGCCCATTTTAACTATACATTATGTAGACATTAGGAATTTTTCTGAAAGCAGAAGAGATGAAATATGAACAATGCCTTTGCCGGGACTCGAACCTCTCAAATACGAGCCGAGTGTGTTCGCCATAACACCACGAAAACATGCTAAGAAGGTGGAAGACCTTATACACTCCGCCTTTTAAAGAGCGACTGGGGATTACAGTACACAATCGTCAAATCCTGGTGGTGACGAATTATCGTCCACCACCTTTTAGTTCGGACGCCACTGTAGATTTATTAGATTATTTGGAAGCAGGAGGCCTAAAACATGCAATGCCCTCGCCGGGACTGGAATCAGGACCTCTCGAATACGCGCTGAGTGGGCTGGCCTTTACACCACGAAGGCATACTAAGAAGTCGGGAGAAATATTTTATAACATGTAGTCACGCTTATAGCTCCTCATTGATTCATGTTTATGTATAATCTACACTTATTAGCAATGCGGGCTACTTTAGCTTTGGTGATAGAAGTTATTGTATCTCTAATGGCACAGAATGCTTTAGCTTTAATGTTAGTAATTAGATTATTTTAAAATATTCAGATATTCCTTGTAATTCTTGTTATTAAAACAATAACTACTTAATTTAGTAAGGAATTTAAATAACAATGTTTAGTAGGTAGTTTGTAAAACCCGCAATTTCAACAATTTGATTATACTTTAGACATTTGTTAATTTCGTTTGACACAATATACTCTTTAAACCTCATTCCCCTATAACAACAACCCACTTCGAAGGATTTATCTAATCATGATGTAAATTAATATATGAAATGTTCCAAAATAAGAATCAAAATATTTTAGGACCATTTAGTTGAATAAAGAAACTACAAAAGTGAAGAAAATCACTACATTATAACTCCTCCTCTAAATCGGAAGAAAGCATTTCCCCGGAGTGAAATATAGATAGTATATAAAGGTATGACGAGCCAGATATGGGCCAACCATTTCGCCAGTTTATTGACATTCTAGGACGGATATAGGTGCGTCTGATCAAGAGCCAAGCATACTCGATCCAAGAGAAGCCAGGTGATCAGGCTGGCAATGGGACATCATTTGCATTAACGAAGGCAACTCTGAAATGCCATGCTATATGTGGGAGGGCATGCCTCAGAAATAAAGGCCTCAAAATGCTGTGAGAAGAATGGTAACAAAACTGGTCTCATTTGTTGATCTAAGAAACGGTTTTCAGGCCAACGTCTTCCCGTGTGCGAAATGTGTGGCGTTCCGAAATAAAGGTAAAATTCAAATGCTGGTGAACCTATGCCGAGATATGAATGCAGGAGCTATTGACGTCCAATGCAAAAGAACCTCTTCACTGAAAGTCACAACACTAGCTGCACATTTATCACATTGGTGAGCCAAACATTAATTGAACATTACATGAATAGAACATTACATGAATATTACATGAATAGAAACATGTTGAGTTTAAGAAAGAAATGTGACTACAATTTTAGTTACATTTCTTTCTTAAATCAGAAAAAATGTTAAATGTCCTTATGTAACTTTCTGCATAAATGAGGGCAATTTCAAGAACTTATATGTTTTATGTCTTATCTACCTTTTGAAATTAACTAATTAATAAATTAAAAGGTTCGTAATTAAACATCATACCATTTCCCGAAAGTGATTTCTTTTATCTGCTTGACTAAAGAAACTCGGTGTGAAATGAAAGTAGATAAATATTGGTAAACAAGGCAATAAAGTGTTAATTTAATAATAATGAAAAAAAAACTTGACATATACACAATTAAAATAGTCAATGAATTACTTTCATTTATTTCCCAAATAATATAATTTAAGTGTCCAAGATATCTGACACCTAAATATATTTGCAAAAATTTGAGCTATTTACTTATTGCTGTGCTAGTAGAATTTCTTTCGAGCTTCAGAAAAGTAGATGCGTCTGAAACTGCGGTTCTGGTCTTTCATTCCGAAGATTCTAATAAGCATCGTATTATTAAATTAATATTCCAAGCACTTCATTCTTGTGCTATTATAGGTGACACTTAAGAACTTTTTTAATGCAGCGGAACAGGGCGAAAGTTTGGTTCGAGTTGTGAATGCAGTGGAGCTTCCATCGTCTAATTACTGCTGCAGGAAGTTTAGAACATCTGTGCATACTGGTAAGCGTGACTGATTCATCGATACTTTTCGTTGTAATGTACGAAGCGAAAGTTATTGTGATGGAACGGAACTGAGCTGGATAATTTTAGCTTAATTTTCATCCATGTTTACAAGTTGTTTCTATAGCAACACATATGTACTTCTTGCTTCTAAACTTGCTTTATTCTTTCCAATATGATTTTCGGTAATAGCAATGATTTGCAATGAATCTTTTGAATATCTGACACTTACAAAAGTTTAATGTAACCTCATTGAGAAAATAACCTTCACGAGATGGTAAGTCTCTCATCTTAATTGCGACTTGAATTACAGACCTCAATAATGACTGAAAATAAGTACTGTAATCATTTAGTTCAAAAACATTCGAGATGTTCCTGCAAAATAAAATTTTGATACTTGGTACCACTCTTATAAGTATCTTATTTATAAGGTACTAACACACATCGGATATTTTAAAATGTGTTATAATTGCCTCTATCGCCCTAAATTATTTAAAAATGTTTTCTTTGTGACTTTCAGCTTTTACAAACATTTAAACTTCCATTTGAAGTGGAGTAGTATTATTCATAACACATAAATACATAAGTACAGTTTTCACACTTTGTATATTTCACAATTTTATAAAGAATTTTCCATTTATAATAAAAGAAAAATGAATTCTTATTACGAAAGAAGAACGTTAAGGGAATACCGCATAGAGAATGGAAAAAGACCTTCATGCATATTCTTACGTATCCCAAAGGGCGGAAAAACCTAGACGTCTTTAAGCTTGTCGCTGGGCGCAAGTGCTAAAAATGGCTACAGAGACTAATGTCTATAAAAGTCAAAACTTCAGCTTCTGTTATGAAGAACTTCCTAAAGATGCATGGAGTCTATCATTTTGTGCTTGCGTTTCTATGTAAATGTATTTCTGGCAGCCTGCAGAACTGATGAAAAATACTGGACAGAAAGACTAATGCCTTACTTAAAAGAATCGTGATTTATCTTTATAAGGTTTTCTTTTGTTTCATAACATTTAGGGATGGATAGATATATTTTGCCTAAGTGTCATTGCTTTAAATAAATAAATAATACTTTACGAAAATGAATGCCCAGCAATATTTACTTTAAATGCATGCATTTTAAAGGCATTCCAGTACATCACCAAAACAAACAATTCATATTTAACTTCTTAAAAAATCCGAAAAGATGATATGAACTGCTGCTGAAAACCGATTTATTACAGAAGTTCTAAAGGAAGGTAAAGAAAAAACAGTTAAATAAGGACATTTTAATAGTTTAATTTTTTAAGTTGTTCCTCTTACAAGGATCTTTTTGATGTATTCGAA